TTGTTTTTGGGGGGCAGGTGTTTAAAACTAATTATTTTTCCCTACACGGCTTGGGCTGGAGGAGATCTGCTGGCCAGCACACCGGGACTCCGGATAAAGGCGGATCTGATATTCAGACCTGAAGACGGAGCGTTCTTACCCAAACTCGGAAAAAAAAAAAAAAAGTCGTTAATAAATGATCCCCTCTTCCCGTTTATTTTAATAGTAAGGAGATGGACCTTCTTGCAGGGTAAGGAGGCGCCTGCTCGATGCATGGAAGGGGAGCTTTGAGCACCGCTCCCCGTAGCAAAATAGGAAGAAGGTTATCCCGCAGCCCAGATCCGACGTTTATGTATTTTTTCCAAATCCCAGAGCTACTCTCCTTCAGACAAAACCCTCACCTTTTCCTTGTGTACTGAAGCACTGAAAGTTCTCTTCAGTATATTTTTCTTGGCTGCCTGAGCTCAGCGTTTTGATTCACTAAGCAGAAGAGCTCTGCAGTCAGGGCCGGTGCCCAGTGTTTTCATCGCCACCCCCGTACATTATTTGTCATGCTCAAGTGAGGGTTTGTTCAAGGCAAAAGCCTGCTTGCTCACACTGGGCTGCATTTGTTTCTCCTAAAGAAGGCAAGAGATTTTGTTTCCGGGTCTGGTAACAGGAGCCCCGGTGCCTTACACAAACATCGCTGGGCAGGCAGGGGCACTCCCAAGGCTTTTGGTTCCGGGGCTGCAGCAGCCCCCCTCAAACACATTGAGATGTTGGTCAGGCCCAAACTGCTGCCCCAGGTCTGGGGAGAAGAGGCAAAGGAGCTTTCTCCAGCGTAGCTCACAAAAATTTGCCAAGACGGCGACTTCTCCCATGTAGATCACGTCGAGTGCCTCCAAAAATGGCTTCTATTATCCAAAGGAAAATGCAACCACCCTGCCTTGTAGATGAGAGTCCTGATTACCCCCAGGAGCCTGGAAGGGCTCGCAGATGGAAGGTGTTCAACCAGCAAGCTCTGGCATACGGTCTCCTATTCATAGGAAAGGCTCTTCGTCCTATAAACTTGCTACCTGTCCCCAGAAAAGTGGCGGAATTGGTGCCACATATCCAGCAGCCTGTCGGAATGCTCTCTCATCGCATCCATCTGTATTTCCCCGTCAGAGTGACGAGCTGTGCCTCGCCAGGAAGGACAGAACTGTTTTCTGTCTCAAATGAGCTATTTCTCTCCCGGCTCTCTTCAGCACAGCACCCTGTCCGTGAACGCTCATACAATAAAATACAGCAGGAAAAAACCCCTCTGCCCTAGTGCCCGTCAGTATTCTAAAGGGCTGACTCCATTTACACTTGCCGCAAATGCTGAATACATTGTTTAATTTGGTACGATTATATTTCGAGGTCAAACACTGCATACATATATATTACATATACACATACGTACATATAGCTGGGTGTGTATGTGCATATAGGTGTGTGTGCCTATATGAGACATACAGAGAGTGCTGCTCTTCTCAAATTGTCCAAGCTATAGGGCATCTGCCGTGCAGTTTGTCTGCCACATCCTGCCCTCAGTCCGAGGGTAGCCAGGGGAAGTTTCATCCAGTTTATCCAGCAGGATAAAACCTGCTGGAACCGAACTGTGGTTTTATTTATTCCCCAAAACCCATGCGGGTACCCCAGGAACAACCAACCCTGAGATATGTCCCATGTAACCTAATGCTAGTGAATCATAACTAATCTGTTTAAAACCAAGGATTAGTCACGTCAGTTTCGGCATATTCCTCTATCGGGAACTTTTTTTGTGCGTGGAAAATTGGAGGGATTTGGGCTAATTTTCCAAACATCAGTACTAAGGCAAGTACGGTCTGATAAAATGAGTCTTAACATGTTCGGGGTTTCAGGTTGCATTACACACGTCCCATCATAGGGGCTTTGAGCTGTGTGCATCCTTAATGCCAGATTGACCTGCAGATTTTTTTCCTTACTGCATGATTTTTGTTTCTAGCCATCTTTAAGTGGCTTCAGCGACTCGCTGTCTCTTAATTCATCCATGTATAAGTGATCCTCACTGAAACGCACGAGTTTTCACAGATCCCACTCTCTCAAAGGGCCTTTCTCACCGTGTCAGCTCTTCATTTACTTTCCCCGATCGAATTCTGCCTCCTCTGTGCAATATGACCTTTTATTAATCACGTAAACCCCATCCTGTTTTCATACTGCCTCTTTAAATATTCTCCATCTTGGCTTTACTCTTTCTCATTTTTTCTTTCTCCAGCGGGCAAAGCCTTAAGGCTTTATTTCCCTTTCGAGGCCATGTTTTATTAACCCAGACAGTCTGTTTCCTTCCCAGACTTATTTCTATCTACAAAATTACAAAATAATAACTATCCCATTAATTAATTCTTTGCCATATCGTACCGCTGTGTGTGTTATTTTACAGGGAGCAGAGATTTTCTATAGCTCTAGAAAGCAGTGGTTCCTCTACTTGCAAAGTGTTTATTTTCAAAGAAATAAAGTCCATAGCTAAAATTATTAGATGCCCCTCAGCGGAAATAACAGGATCCTCGATTTAGACCCTGATGCACGTAAGGCCACACTGGTATGCTCCCACAGCTCAGGCATCAGCTGCATCATCTCTGCTGCTGAAAAAATCATCCCTAAGTGCAGGAGCGGGGGAAACATAAACCCGCATAGGCCACATTGTCTCCCATAAAATATTGCACCTCGCTGCACCCCAGCATAACGAGAAAACTGGATTTATAGCCGCGACTGAGGGAGAGCTTTTTTCGGAGACCAAACCTCCCCATTGCCGACATCCATACATTCCCTGCTGCAGACTTTTAACGGGACCTCAGAGAAATGTGCTTTTAGCGGACACCCGCAAACGCACAGAGGCGCTAATCCAGACCCAGATTACATCAAATTAGGACACTGCCCGCACAATATTCCCACTGATTGAAACTTCAGCCAGCATCTGAAACCTGGACACGATCTTTGCTGATCTACACATTTTTCTATGCCGCTTGAAGTCAAATCGTTTTCTCGGTTTATTTTTCACAAGAAAATCATTCCAAAGAAGATTAAAAAAGACCAAAAATGAAGTTATAAAGCTGTTTGCAAGTTCTGAGAACATTTTAAGCACATAACACGTTCGGCTTCTAGCAAAGATGGACGGCGAAGGTGCAATCTGCAAGAGTCCTGAGCTCTTTTGATGGGGCAAAATGGCAAGTAACCTGCCTGACTCTTTGGCCACCCGGTGCTTACAGGAAAGGAAATTAAAAAGAAATAAAGAAAAATGAGAGGAATAGAGAAATCCCTTTCCCAGCATCCCGCAGCCGCCGGAAAGGAGCCCAGTGTCCGTGCTGGCCCCGGAGCGGGGTCTGGCCACCCTCGGTTTGCCCACCCGCCCTGGGGACGAGGTGGGGGAGAGGGGGCGGCTTTTTGTCCGCCGGGGCAGGCGGGCAGCGGGGCAGAAGAGCCCGCAGCCTGCGGGGCCGTGCCCTCGGGGAGCAGGTGGGCGAGCTCTCCGCTTCCCTCAGGGCCCGCACGGCCCGTCCTGCCCCTGCCCTCGGCTCTCCGCTCCCTCAGGGCCCGCACGGCCCGTCCTGCCCCTGCCCTCGGCTCTCCGCTCCCTCAGGGCCCGCACGGCCCGTCCTGCCCCTGCCCTCGGCTCTCCGCTCCCTCAGGGCCCGCACCGCCCGTCCTGCCCCTGCCCTCGGCTCTCCGCTCCCTCAGGGCCCGCACCGCCCGTCCTGCCCCTGCCCTCGGCTCTCCGCTCCCTCAGGGCCCGCACGGCCCGTCCTGTCCCGTGCCCTCGGCTCTCCGCTCCCTCAGGGCCCGCACGGCCCGTCCTGTCCCGTGCCCTCGGCTCTCCGCTCCCGCAGGGCCCGCACGGCCCGTCCTGTCCCGTGCCCTCGGCTCTCCGCTCCCTCAGAGCACTTCGGCCGCCCGTGGCGTTCAGCACTTCCCGGACCGGGCCGGAAAGGGCCCGACGTGCCCGGGCCGAGCCGGGCAGGGTGGCGGGGCTCTGGCCAGCCATCACCGCCTGCCCCGGCGTCCCCGCCAGGGCGCCCGCTCTGCTCCGCTCGGGACTGAGCCCGAAAACACCCCGCGGGGGAGTGAAGCAGCCATACGCCGAGCTAGATTTCTAAATTTTATTATAAAATAAAAGCAGAAATATTTTCCAAAGAATGTATTCACATAATATAAACAATAAACAAAACTAAGGTGAGTGACTTGCGGTTGATACTGTCATTTAGGTCTAAACTTGAGCAGCAATTCCTGTTTTCCTTTTAAAACCCGCTCCAGCCCGCGTTGCACACCGAGGGAAAAATCTACCTCTGCCTTCCTTCGGGCCGGAGCCGGGCCATCATTTCCTTTCCCACCCAGCAAATGGCGAAAGCACCACATGGACAAGGCCAAAGAAGCTGTCTCTCTGCATAGCATCAGCTACAAGAAGGTTACAGAGTCTGCCTAGAGAGCGTGTTGCTGCTATATCTTGACTACGACTTTTGTATTCTTAGTTGAAATTGTACATCGTACACCTGCCACGGATACATAGCTACAATAGAATAACGGGAGCGATGTGTAACTTTCAAACAGGCATGGCAAGAGCAGCCTTGCGTTCCCCTTTCTTCCCCACCCCCCCAAAAAATAAAAATATTACGATGTGCCTCTTCCCACACAGACCGGCCCGATCGAGTGACAACACTGAGAGATTTGTGAAGTTAAGGCTGGAATGAGCTGCTACACCGATCAGCCTTACAGCCTGCCGTGAAAATCACGGCTCCTGTCCCACAGTCCTTACACGCCTGAAAACGCCTGTAAGCAACCATTAAGGCTTTTCACAATATCAGCTACCCACAGCGGAGTCCACTACCTTGCAAACCTGCAGCCAGCCTGCTGCCAAAGGGCACAACACTTCCACTAAGGTGTTTGTCATTGCTTTCAAAGTCCCTGGTAAGATTAAAGGAAAAAAAAATAATAGGAAAAATTGAGGAAAGGAGGGCTGGCGCGAAGGACTGAGCGTGTACACGGTTTTAAGACCCCAGATCGACCAAGTTAGATGACATGGGGTTGAGAATGGAGTCCTGCAAGCTGTGGTGGTGCATGGGGTCGGCGCTGGGCACGGGGATGGCGCTGGGGCCCTGGGGGTGGCCCAGGCCGTGCAGAGGCTGCAGCCCGGGGTTGGAGCTGAGCAGCAGCGCGGGGCTGGAGGAGGTGTGATCCGGGGTCCCTGACGGCGTCTTCTCGTCCTCTGAGCTCCCCAAAACTGTCTTATTCCCGTTCATTGACGCCGAGAGCGGGTTGTGGCTGTTGGAGTTGGAATTCTCGTTGTTTTCCCTATAGGAAACACAAAAGAGGGAGGGAAATCACCATGCGGCCGTCGCTCCGGGTGCGCACCGCGGGAGCGGGGGCGGCGGGGGGCTGGCTCCGGGGAGCAGCGAGCGGAGGGGAGCAGCGCAAAAACTCTGCGTTTAAAAACTCTGCCAACCTCCGAGGCCTCTTCATCTGGCACTTAGGTCTAAGGTCCGCTGAGCTTGTAAACAGTCTCCCACCGGCCCAGCGGAAAGTGTCACTTTGCCAAACCTTAATTTTCTGCGTCCAAAGAGTTTGCACAGCGTGAGGAGGGGGGCGGAAGGGAAGGGAGGAAGACTTTATTTAAAAAACAAACAAATAAAAAAACCCCAAAATTTTTAAACTTTAAAACTGCTCTAGGAGCTAAAGAGATGTTCAGCCATGATTCCTCCTGAGGAAGCCGAAGGCCGGCGAGCTGCAGGCAGGATGGCTCCGTGCAGCCCCGGGCTCACATCAGGAGGGGAAGTCTTTTCCTTAAGTAACTGGACATGGTTTCTTTTCTCCCTCGCCCTGAGCTTCAAGCTCAAAACATAGCCCAATATGGACGATAAGGAAAGCGAGCAGAGTTAACCCGTGCTTTCCTCTCGGGAAATGCTCGGCACGGCGGCCGCTGCTCCCCCGTCCCGTCCCGGAGCAGCGTGGGCGCAGCCGGGACGGCCTCGCACGGCGCCGCGGCGGGACAGCCCGCACCACCGGAGCGCTGCGACAAAGGCTCCGAAAGGCAGGACCTGGTTTCGAAATTCATCACCGGGTGAATACCAAGAAATCGCTGGAGGCGGGCCAAGCCCTTGCAGATTTATCTATATATTTATATATCTATATATGGGGTTTTTTTCTCGGTAATGTGAGTGGCAAGAAGGGGTCGGGGCTGCCGTCTAGGCAAGGCTTCCTCGGCCTGCATAGCCCCCGTAGAAATACTTTAAACACCGTTCTGCTGATCTACTGACGGCAGTGCAAGCCTATTTGAAAGCTTCTGCGGAAGTTTTGTAACACGCTCTCTGGCAGAGGGGCCCTATCCTGCAGGATTTGGTCGGGAGAAGTTAAGCTATAGCACGGACGGGTTTTCCTCTCTAAGGGCTGCATGATGTGGCTGGAGACACTTAGTGCCAAAAAAATAAAAATAGACAAGAAAGCTCTGTTTGAACAGGTTTCTTTGAGTGGATGGCAATCCCATGAACGGTCTGTTTTCCAACGCCTGGAGTGTAATATTAGGTTGAGTGTATTTTTCAATGTCAAAAATATTATTTGTCTCTGGAGACCTTTAAAATTTGATTCCTTGGGAAAAAAAAAAAAGGAATGGAATAAGTGTACCCTTCATTTCCTTTGGATATTTGAAGGTGAGTCCCTGCTATCAGCAATAAAAAGGATCTCTAACATCTCGTAAAACCAACACTTGTTAGGATTTGAAGGAAAATTAAAGCGCTAGCAGAGTTTCGGGAAATGGATAGAGCAAATCTGTGCCCGAATCTGCCGGGCTGCACAGCAGGGCGGCCGCGGCGCTGCCCGTTTCCAAAACACGGTTGGCAGAAACCAAAGATAGAAAGAATTCTCCTCCGAGGCACGGATCTACAGGATTCTGACCCGCTAATTAACCCGCAGAGCATGCGATCATACGATTGCCTGTACGGACCGGGCGGATCAGTGAGCTAGTGAACGCAGTAAGAGGGCCCTTTTTGCCTCTTCGAACCGTCTTCCTAAGGCACAGGGACTGCTGACAGAAAAATCTGCCCGAATAGCCAGGGATGTAGGCATTAACCTCCTCCCGGCCATTAATGGTCCCTTCACTCCACATAACGTGAGAAACACAAAAACACAGCTGCAGAATCGTATTCGGCCTACGAACGCACACCTATTGACGTGCGTTCATGAGCACCTTGCTGGGCAGCGAATAAGAGCTGCAAGGTCATGAGCGAGGCAGGAAGTGGCTCCCCTCAGACCTTGTCCAGGTCTCCAGGAGCCCAGGACAGAGGGTGTATTTGCTCAGACCAACGCTCAGACCCGCGCGTTGCCGGCTGCCCCCGGCTGCCCCGGGGTACCCTCACGGACACGCTCTGAGCCCTGCGGGGCGCAGAGCCCTCGGGCCCCGCCGCCGCCACCCCGGCCTCTCCCGACGGGCCGCGGACCCGCACGGGCACCTCCGGCCGCGGCTCCTGGAGGCGGCAGCGCTGCTCGACCGGGGCTCGCCGCAGGCCGTGTGAGGCGTCCCGGGCAGCCGGGGCTGTGCGGGGAGCGGGGAACGGGTCTCGGCCGCCTCTCCCGGGGCTACTTTTGGCGCACAGACGCCTTCACCGAGCCCCCAGCTCTCTGGCCTCTGGTTCTCTGTGCGCCCCCGAGGCAGAGAGCGCCCGTCCCCTCCCGGCGGGCCTTCCGCAGCCGAACCCGGGGCAGATAGAGAGACCCGGAATGAGCACCGGGGTCGGGGAGCTGCGGGCGCCGGGGGAAGCCGTGGGAAGCCGTACCTTTCCTTGGCCTCGGCGGCGCGGTCCCGCTGCCGGCGGTTCTTGAACCAGTTGCTGACCTGGGTGGTGGTGAGGCCGGTGGCCTCGGCCAGCTCCCGCTTCTCGCGGGGGGACGGGTAGGGGTTGTGCGCGTACCACTCCCGGAGGACGCTGCGGCTCTTCTCCTTGAAGCAGTAGCTGGTCTCCTCGCCGTCCCAGATGGAGCGGGGCAGCGGGAACTTGCGGCGCACCCGGTACTTGCCCACCGCCCCTAGGGGTCGCCCCCGCAGCTTCTCCGCCTCGATGTAGTGCGCCTTCAGCCAGAGCTGCTGCAGCTTGGGGTGGTTGTGCGCCGAGAACTGGTGGCTCTCTAGGATCTTGTAGAGCTCGCGGAAGTTGCCCCGGTGGAAGGCCACCACCGCCTTGGCCTTCAGGACGCTCTCGTTCTTGTGGAGGTGCTCGCAGGCAGGGAGGGACCAGAGGAACCGCCCCAGCCGCTCGATGTTGCCGCCTTGCTGGAGCACCTCGCAGACGCAGGCCACTTGCTCTTGGGTGAAGCCAAAAGTCGGGAGCATCGACATGGTGAGCGCTGCCGCGCCGCGCGCCCTACGGCCGCATAGAGGGGAGCGGCGCGGGGCGGCGGGCAGCGCCCGGCATGCGGGGCCGGCCCCGGGGCGGCGGCGCCCGGCGGGGCCCGCTCGGGCGTCACGGCCGGGCGCGGGGGGCCGCGGCCATCGGCGGCGCCCGGCCCCGGGGCGGTCGCGGGAGCCGGGGAAAAAGTGCGAAGAGCGACGAAAAAAAGTCTCGAGAGCCCGAGCGCGGGCGGCTTTTCCCCCCGGCCGCCGCCTCCTTTTTGTAAGTCCAAGTTGCGAGAGTAACTTCGTGCCTCTTTTGTCTCCTATCTGCAGCGCTCGCAGCGGCCGCGGCTCTCACACCCCCACCCCCCTCGGCCGCCGGTTTGGGATCTCCCTGCTTCCCCCCCACCCCCCACCGTCAGATCCCACATAATATAGTGGTAAAGCCCTGCTCGCTCGCTCCTCTCTCCCTCTCGGAGTTTTCCCCCCTTTCTTTCTCTCTCTCCTTTTTTTTTTTTTTTTTTTTTTTAAATAATATTATTCTAAGCTGGCATGAAAAGTGATTATCCGCGCTGTGATTGGTCCGGTTATCTGACCCGGGGACTGCCAGGAGAAGACAATAGTTTTAGTCAAATTATTTGCCATGGTGACGCTGTCAATCAGGGGTAACCCGATCTGTTTTGAGGTGGCTCCCCGGCTGGGTTGACAGATTGCTCAGATCCACTCAGAGGCGGCCCTGAGAGCTGAGATATTAGCTAGCGAGGGAGAAATTTCCGTCGTGATTGACGCTGCAGGCGCCCGTCGGGGGAGAGGGGGAGCGCGAAGCCCGGGCCCCTGCTCCCCGCCGCAGGGCACAGAGGCGCGGCGGGACGGAGCCGCTGTCTCGGCCGGGCCCCGCCGTCCCGTCTGGATCCCGCAGCCCCGTCCCGGCCCCGCCGCTCCGGACGGACAGCGGGCTCCGCCGTCCCCGGCAGCCGCGGCTGCGGTGGGGCGAAAAATTTCTTTCTAAAAGCGTTCCCTCATAGCCCCTCTCCCCAGCGCCCAGTAACCACTGTCGGAGAGTTTTATAAGGAAGGGGCCTCTCATGTACAATGGAGACCCTGTTCGTGACCTGGGATCCCATTACACGCTTCTCGTACCTGCCCGGGAGCGAGAAGAAGGCACGATGATACAGGGCCGGAAGGGATTGCCTCTCCATGGATCGCCGGCCGTGCCCCACCGCGCTCCGGCGGGAAGGGCGCTGGCGTTTGTGATCACTGGACGCCGGACATTTATTTATACCAGATTTCCAGAGCGTGTCGGGGTGTTTCATCCAGGAGAGGAACACGTGTAAAAGTGTAAAAGTCAGAAACATTTCGCTCGATTAAGCGGACCCTTATCACCCACGCGTGCCCTTTGCACGCCGCGTTTTAAGTTTACCGACTCTGCGGGGCAGGAACCCGCATCATTTCCCGTCCCTTGTCGGTCTACACAGAGTGAAAGGCGAGCGAGAGAGGTGGTGCAGGCTGCAAGGTCGAGGGAGAGCTGCGATGAGCGGGTGGAGGGAGCCGCGGTGCCTCCTCGGGAGCGGCGCACAGGGCGGCGGCCAAGCGGGACCGCCGGGGCGGAGGCTGGCGCCGGGCATCGCCCAGGTGAGGGCACTCGGGAGGAGCCTCCCGGCCACAAACTCGGGGTAGTTTCCATGGCCTGTTATGTTCCCCTTTTGCTGAGAAATAATAATTAATCCCACAAGCTCCTTCTACGGTATTTGCAGTCCTGACAGGAGAGGTTTGTGCAATTGTGGGTTCCTGCCGCGGTACCTTTTTAGCCGCCCCGGCGCGTCAGGGATTTAGTGAAGCCACAAGAGCCCGGGCTGCGGCTCCCCGCCCCGCAGCCTGCGCCTCCGCGGCCGAGGAGCGAGCCTCGGTGCCGGCCCGGGCGGCCGTCCCGGGGGAGGGCGAGCTGGGGCGGCGGCGCGCAGCCCGGCGGCTCCCGGCGGCTCCCGGCGAGGAGCCGCGCCAGGGCTGCGGCCGGGGAAATGCGGCGGGGGAGGGAGGTAGGAGGAGGAGGAGGAGGAGGAGGAGGAGGAGGAAGAGGGCGGAGTAGGGGGGCAGCGGATCAACCGTGTCCAGCTCCCAGCATGTCCGAACGCCTGTGTATATCCGTGCACCCGTACTTTCTCGAGTGCGCTCGGCTGTGGGAGCTGCGTTGTCCTCCTACCTGTCCGTCCGGCCTTTTCACGAGTGCTGACATAGGGAAAGAGTGGCAAGCGGGCGCTTCCTGCCCTGGATCCTCCGGGAACGGAAAATAGAGGCTTCTTTTTCCAGTGGAGAAAAGAGGAGCCCAAATTCGTTTAAAACAAAATCGGGCATACTGGTGATGGGTCGGTAAAGTCCCTTCGCATGATGCTCCCTCCGTTCTTTTACAAAATGAGCTCTCAATCGCTTAGTGCCTCGATTCCGGCCGGTCTCTGCAGGATTGAAGCTGTGCTTGTTTGTAAACGAGAGCATCCCGATCCCAGCGCTTCCTAGCCAACCTAAGCGGTTGGATAGTTCACAGCCGCAGCCGTAGCCAACAGCGGCGGGACGGTACAACCGCGCCGCTTCGGAGGTTGCTCTGAGCAGAAAAGGCAACAAAACCACAAGTCGCCTCTGCCGTCCCCGACCTCTGCGCGCACACACCGTGTGCCTTCCCTCCCTCCCGCAACGGGGACCGAGGAAATAAATGAAAATTCTAGCGAGGTCTGAGCTGCCTCTCCCATCTCCGTGCATCCACGCTCGGTCGCCCCACGTTTATTAGGGATATACCTGACTCCTCTTCCTCTCTTTCTATCTCACAACCACAGTGGTTAAATCTGAAGGGGAGCAGCTCTTAGCCCTCTTAGCTGGAAAGGAAATGTCAAGACCTGTTGCATAGACTTAGACCTGAAAAAGAGTCTTTTTAGCACCCTAAAATGTGAGTACAGTGTTTACACTCCAGCTCCTCCGTAGGCGCTTTCACTTTAGGCTGCCTTAGCCGGACTGCAGCTCGCGTGTAACTTAAGTTCACTTCCCGGAGAGCTGGGCAGAGGCAGGGCTACCCCCTTCCCGGGCACCCTGCATCAGCTTGCGTCCTAGAGCAATCGTAAATTAGTGACATCTGGATCCAAATTCTGCATAACTGCTTTTATCTTTAGGGAAAGAGAAAAGTTTTCCTACGTGCTAGAAGTCAGAGCAGATACTGGCTGCACAGCCGCGGCGCGGGGCGAATCGCATTGCAGCGCCTTGCGAGCGAAATAGGCGATCGGGAGAGGAGCTTTTTTTGGCATTTGCGAAGCCTCTCGTTCCCTGACATTATGTTTCAAAGCAGGAGGAGCGAATCGCCTGCTCACATTTGCCCCTGGACCGACGAGAGTGTTTCGCCTGGCTACTGCCAGCTGTCTCCCGTTTAGCTGTCGTGGAAAGTTTCAGCCGAGCCGACCCAAACTCTCTCTCGGCTCCGCTGCCGCCGGGCGGCCAAGGCCGGGGTTCCACCCTGCCCGGGCCCGCTGTCACTTTGCCGAGGCTCGCTCGGCGAGCGCCTCACCCCTCGGCGCAGCAGCGTGCGAGGCCACGGGTGTCAGCACAATCTCTGGGAAACGTGAGTGAAATAAATAGGTGGTTTTTATTGCGACGCTCCTTTCATTAGCTGTGACACAGTTTGGCTAAGGAATGGGGCGTGGGCGGGCGGTTTTCTCCCGAGGAGCCTTTCCTTGCGTGGAACTGCTCCGTGCTCCCGAGTGGGTGCCAAAGTGGAGCCTCAGTTATCTGGAAATCGCCTTCTCGGCTCTGCCTTCGCCGTCCCTTTGTAGACAGCAGCCTGTATGGGAGGCTGCAGGCCCGCATCGTTCCTGTTTAACTCAGGAGCCGATTCACCCGGCCTGCCCGACGCCTTTCCCGGCCTCTTCGACGGCTGCTTCTGCGGAGCCCCTCATCCTTCTCACCGAGCTGGGCTCGGGACAAACCTGTCACCCGCTGTCACAGGGCTGCGGACACTGTCACACGGCTCCTGCCAGCCAGCCGTGGGCTCGGCACGGAGACACGGCCGTCTCCAAGGGCGCTTTTATCGGCAGGGGTAGCAAACAATGATAAACCCCACAACTTCCACATGCCAGGAAGAAACACATTTCCCCGCAGATGTCCACTACCATAGCGAGGACTGTAGGGAGAGGAACCAAAATGACAGATAACTCCAAGTTTTCGTTTCTTTCTTTCCGTCCTTTATTTTAAAATATTTTTTAAAAATTAAAAAAAATTCTTTCCTTTTGTCGGGACTGCAATATGCTTTCTCTTTAAAACCTGTGGGGTTTACCGAGACTGAAAGCCTGCCACAATGAAGCTGCTACTCCGGCTAGGTTTTCCTTTTATTTATTTATTTTTTAAAAAGCATCATAGCGACCTTTGCCGCGATACTGGGCCTACCTTCCCCATACCATCCAGCCCTGGGGCTCAGCTCAGTTTCCTGGGCTCACAAGTTTTCCCGTGGCGGGACTAGGGCTTCTTCAGGCGGCCAAAGCTCACCCGGGATTCCCGGAGGCAATATTGCAACCCGGATCCGCGGGTTGGTCCCCCCGCCCTCACGTTGTTTATTCGCGGTTTTATTTATTTTTCAGTTTTGTTTAAAACCCGAATCTATCCCATCAGAGATGGCACTAGCTCCTGTCTGGACTGAGAAAAGAAAGCACGGCAGAGGATCACTGCACACAACTAAATTGAGACAAACAAAAGTTTCTTGTTGTTCCCTGATTTGGGGAGAAAGGAATAATTCAAAGCTTTTGCTGGGCGCAATGCACCGTTCCTCAAGGGGACGGGTCAAGGATTTCAGATATGTAGCGGGTAACTCGATTATGCTAACAAACTCGGCTTGGAAGGGAGCACTGGTGGGTGCGGGGGCTGGGGGGCTCCGCTGGGGGCCCAGGGGAGCGGAGCGTGTGCCCCTCGGAGCTCCCCGGCCCGCAGCTCCGCCGCTCGCTCTGCAGCGCCGAGCCCTTTCCCCGCCGGCTGGACCTG